CAATTATATATAAATCTATTAGAAATAACTCGATTAAACAGAATCTACTTGAACTAAGTGAAAAGCTAAAAGATGAAGAAACAGTAGAATTTTATACAGATGAGGCAATAGTAGCTAATAGTAAAGGTGAAAATAGGCTGAATTGTAAAAGTAGAAAATAGATTAGCTAGAGAAATTAGTTTTAGTAGTAGTATAGGAAACTGGTCCTCTTCCATATGTACTGAACTAGGAGCTATTTGGACTGCTCTGCTAACAACTCTAGCTAGAGTACAAGTTCATATATTCACGGATAGCAAAGTAGTAATTGAAGTAATCGAAAAATCTAGAGATAATAGAAAACTCTGCAAATAGTTCAAAGCAAAAAACCGAAGTCTACTAAGGCAAATACAAGAATGTTACAAAGCTAAAAATCTTGACCTAAAGCTACACAAAGTTAAAGGACATAGCAGTAATGCAGGAAATGACTATGCAGATAACCTTGCTAAGAAGGGAATGCATATGCAAGATATGCTTGAGATACCAGAAGTTGTATCGAGTGACATTACTTTTATACCCAAATGGAAAGAGCAGATTATTGATAGCTCTTTAAGATCCTTTGTCAACCTAATCTCAATAGCGCACTATGAAACAGAGTAGTCTAAATTAAACAAAATAACAGAAATCTTTAATGTAAACTAGGAAGAGCCTACGTACGAAGGTTTTATCTAGAACAATACCTGGCAAGTACTCAAAAAATAGCAAGGCAAAAACTGCATCAGTAAGAAAAAAAGCAAAGCACTTTTATTCCATATCAAATATATAAACAGTGTATTACTGACTAAGGACATATGCTTTTTAAGAAACCCAACATTATATAAAAACTGAAGATGCATTACCTGCATCAGAAAAGATGTGTCACTATATCATATTGCAGAATGCGAAATGTATGTAAAGATATGGAAAAACCTAGAAGAGGAAGCCTTACAGTTAACTAGCTTACAAGCATTAACAGAACTAGACATTTCACTAGAAAATAGATTATTTAGAAGTGCTATCTTTGAAAATGAGCCAAATACGCATATGCAAAATAGGAAATTACTTATAAGAGGACTTACAAGTGTTAAACAACAAAGAGAGATTACAAAGTTAACCAACTCAAAAAAAAAAGCAAACAAAATTCTTTTATTTTTCTTAGATCAATTTTGGACTTGCTTTTTTGAACGTCTATGAAAGTTTCGATGTGAAATTATGATCGAATAGGAAAAAAGAAATAATATCTCAGCAAGAGAAAAGAAGATAAAACGAAAAAGAAAAAAAATAAATTTAGACAAAGAAAACTGCAGACCACCCAATGCAAAAAAGGAAACAAAAAAAGAAAAAGAATTTGTTATTCGAGAAGAAGCATGTAAAAGAATCGACAAATGGATTGCTCATAGTTCAAAGGAAGAGTAGTTATATTTTAAAATAAAATAGGAGATCTTGATAAAGGCTAGTAGTAGCCTTCTAAGGATTAGGAGTAAGTAGGTTATGAATATAATTTATTACTTTTATAAAGAAAATTGCTATTGTGGCAGATCGCATTTGGGCACCTGAAGGTAGCTGAGTGAGTCTAGAATTAGCATAAAGAAGAGTAATTTAGTATAGAATATTTATAGTTTTTTACTCTGTAGTTTATTTAAGCTTTTCTTTAATAAATGATAGGCAAGATCGCCTAAGTATAAAAAAAAAAAAATAAATAAATAAATACATATTGATATTAATTTTAAAAATATTAAATAATTACTTTTCATTAAGGTGAATAAATTGTTTTATTATAGGTTTGGTGATCTTAGTGTAGTGGTTAGGTTGCCAGACTGCTATGCAAGAGATCTGGAGTTCAAATTCCACTATCGACGAATTTGAATAATTACCCAGACCTTTGTACCTAACTTACAGTAAACTCTGTCTGTTTCTGGAGTTGTAACCCTATAAGTTAAGTTGCACCAAGTCAATCGGACATTAGTAGTATAGCAGCAGTTAATCATAGGATGATATGCATATACAAATAAATCTTGATAGAAAAAAATATTAGTGTAGCAGCAGTTAATCACAAGATGATATACGCATAATGATCTACAGACAGGAGACCTGCATAGTAGAAATCACGAGTTGGTGAAGTAGTACAGCTTTCGACAGTCACACTAGCTTATGCTTGATCTAAAAAGGAAACTATCGTTAAAGATGCAGATTGAGTCAGGTGTGCATAAATCTGTTTCACGGGAAGGATCGGTAACACCAACCTGGCTTGGCGGCTAACTGAATTAGGAGGATCTGCCTTGTGAAATATCCAAGAAGATAGACACAGAAAACTAGTAGAGAGCTACAGTAGGAACTGGGGTTGTATGAACATCGACAAAGGTTCAATTCAGGTGAATCGGTGAAATGGGCACATGATCACGTTAGTAGAAATCACTTTCAAGGTTAACTGGAGCTCTGCATACTCACAATAAGTTGGGCAATACGCATCCTGAGAGGACCTAAGTCGTATGGTAAATAGATCTCTAGGTAAGTCAGCTAGCTTAAGCAGTCAGATATAGAGGTGATGTTAGTTTGGATGGAGGAAAGGGTTAATGATCAGAGTGTTTAAATAGGTAACTCACAGGTGGGTTGCAAGCATGGCAGCATAGTATAGAACTAACAAATAGTTGATCATTTGTATGGCGGACTACTTAAATTAGACAATGACTAAAGTTGTATGTGTGGCTTATTGTACACTCATCATGTAACTGTAAAACCTTAGAAGATTACTACTATAGTAATTCTATAATAGCAAATTAATAAAATCTAATCAGCTAAAAAAGCAGCCTTAACTAACAAAAAAAAAATAAATTGTTTTATTATATGATAAAGAAGCTTTTTCTTTAAAATATTCTGTATATATTACATTATAATAAATAAAATTTAATAATTTTTATTGAGAAGATAT